ACCACTGGCTTGGTGCGGGGAGCAGGAACAGGCCGGGCCGGGCTGGCGACGCGCACCATAGGCTTGGTGCGGGGAGCAGGAACAGGCCGGGCCGGGCTGGCGACGCGCACCATTGGCTTGGTGCAAGGGGCAGGAACAGGCCGGGCCGGGCTGGCGACGCGCACCACAGGCTTGGTGCGAGGGGCAGGAACAGGCCGGCCGGGCTGGCGACGCGCATCACAGGCTTGGTGTGGGGAGCAGGAACGGGCCGGACCGGGCTGTGGAGACGGACTGGAGGTCTGGAGCGAAGAGCTGACACAACCCGTCCTGGCTGAATGCCTATTTTTACACACTCTGTTTGAGGCATCAGCACAGGACGTACAGCTCGCACTGGCACTACAGCACGTGACACTGGCGCAGGATATCCGGGACCGAGGAGGGGTACTGGAGGCCACGAGCGTTGAGCCGGCACACTCCGTCCTGGCTGCATGCCCACCTTAGCACGACACGTGCGTGGTGCTCGCACAGGACGTACCGGACTGTGCCGGACCACTCGCGGCACAGTACGCAGCTCTGCATACCTCGGAACCTGCCCAGTCTCACGCTGCCTAGCCTGAGTACGGGGAGTTGGCTCTGCTCTACCTCTAGGCTCCGCCAACCTCCCTTCCAGCCCCCCAAACCCGGTGGCCTCCTCTCCTAATCCACAAACTCGCCCTGTAGCTGCCTCCAGCCGCCCCGTCGTCCATGCCGTGTGCCCCCCCAAAAAAAATTATTGGGGGTGCCTCTCGCCTGTCCGACGACGGCCCGGTTGGCGCCGCTTCTCCTCTCCTGTCTGGGTCTCCCCCTTCATCGCCCTCCGGTAACGGACGGCCTCCTCCTCCGTTATCTGCCCCCAACCGAGGAGGACATCCACTAACGTTACCTCCGGCGTTTGCTCCTGGACACGCTGCTTGGTCCTGTATTGGTGGGATCTTCTGTCACGATCGTCATGAAAAGTGGACCAAGGCGCAGCGTGATATGAGTACATACTTTAATAGGTACTTTTCAAAAACAACAAAACGATACGTGAAGTCCTCGGTCAATAACACAAACCTACACGGAACAAGATCCCACAAAACACAAGTGCACAACAGGCTGCCTAAGTATGGTTCCCAATCAGAGGCAACGTGAATCAGCTGTTGCTTGTTGTCTCTGATTGGGAACCATACTTAGGCAGCCTGTTGTGCACTTGTGTTTTGTGGGATCTTGTTCCGTGTAGGTTTGTGTTATTGACCGAGGACTTCACGTATCGTTTTGTTGTTTTTGAAAAGTACCTATTAAAGTATGTACTCATATCACGCTGCGCCTTGGTCCACTTTTCATGACGATCGTGACAGAAGATCAGTACTCTACTTAAGACTCTTTGTGAATATGGGCAAACACATTATAATCGTAACGATTTAAAAGGCAAAAACTGATCCTAGATCAGCTACTTGAGCTTTGTAAATACAGACACTGACCTGACCTCAACCTCTCCTCAGGGGAAGGGGTGGGGGAGGGAGGTGTGACCTGACCTCAACCTCTCCTCAGGGGAAGGGGTGGGGGAGGGAGGTGTGACCTGACCTCAACCTCTCCTCAGGGGAAGGGGCGGGGGAGGGAGGTGTGACCTGACCTCAACCTCTCCTCAGGGGAAGGGGTGGGGGAGGGAGGTGTGACTGAATGACCTCAACCTCTCCTCAGGGGAAGGGAGGGGGGGCTATTAAAGGAGTGTGACTCATCACAGTCTTCCTTTAAGGTCATTTACAGACGCTCTTACCAGAGCGACTTACGTTACTGAAACTTTTTTATATGGCACCCCGGGGAATCGACCCACACCTGGCGTGCAAACGCCTGCTCTACGAAGCTGGGGTACAGTCCGTGACCTGACCTCACCTCTCCTAGGGAAGGTGGGGGAGGGAGTGTGACCTGACCCAACTCTCCTCAGGGAAGGGGCTGGGAAGGGATGAGGTTTGTGCTATTCACACTAGGGAAAGAACACAACTTTGTGTTGACATCATCACAGTCTTGATGTTTGAATCATCACTCTAGGCCCTACAAATGAAACCTTTTGCGACACTAGCTAGGTTTTCATCCAATTGGCGACAGATTTTCTTTCAAATATTCAAAAATATTATTTCCACCAAAACGGACTACTTTGCACACAAAATGTAGTTTTTCACTTAAGTTTTCATGTACAGAATAAAAATCGAATGTTCAATGTGTTTCCATCACATTTTCAACTCTATGGATAGTTTTGTTACAAAAACGGCTGCGTTAAAAAGCAAATGTGCTTCTGCCTACTTTGTCATGTGTGCTCTAGCCAGGGTGGGCTCTGCGGTAGGCTAGTCTACATGAAGAGATTATGGATAAGAGCAAGAATGTTTTTATTTGTCTAAATGTCAGTCAAGCATTGATCATCATGTCACCAGAATAAGAACCTCAACATTTATTGGAAAAGGAGCATCAAGCTCATACCGTGCCCTTCCACCACCCTGTGAAGTTCATCATAATGTATTTAATATGTAGTCTAATTTAAACTGCATGGTTTCCCGAGTGGTAGTGGGGCACCATGTCACCACATGACTCCAAGTTCACTTCGATATGATGGTTATTATATCAATATTTGCGCCTAAAGACCTTTCCACCGCCATTTACCGCATAATACATTTTACCTACACAAGATCCCACCATGTCAAACGAACAAATTATCTGTTGGCATTTATAAAATTGTACTTAAACTTCATCACAGCTGTCATGTTTTTTGTTTGTTTTTTTACAAATAAAGTATGACTTTACTCGCATAAAAACTGTGGATGGCAACTGTAACGACGACAGAATCACATTAGGGAACTGAGGCTAGGGTAAGATTTCGGCAACAGTGTTTAACAGAAAGCATTATGGTAAAGATTTATGTTGAGCTATTACATTAGATCACGGTGCCTCATTTTTGAAATTGTGTTCCTCGATGTACCTTCCAGTCACATTAGTTAGGCAATAATGGATTGATTTATAAGTGGATGTTATAGTTTAAGATAAAGTTCCTATTTCATCTGTTTGTTAGCGGGAAATAGCATAGCCACTTATCACATAGACAGGGGTTCTGACCTATGATCGATTACACTATTTCAGCCTGACAACAAGAACTGTAAAATTATATGTTAAATGAATGTTCTGATCCCTGTGTCTTCGAAAGGTCATGTACAGTCATATCTAATAAAAACAAAACACAAAATCTTTCAGAACTGTTTTGTGATTAGTCCTCAATATTAGCTACCAGAATAGAGGAAGCTCTATGCCTAAGTCTGAATCAACCCTCAACCACAATGTGGAAGCCATACAGTGACATCATGAACAAGGTTGTGTCGCAAATGGCACCCTATTCCCTATCAGTGGTGCAAAGTACTTAAGTAAAATACTTTAAAGTACTGCTTAAGTAGTTGTTTTGGGTATCTGTACTTTACTTTACTATTTATATTTTTGACAACTTTTACTTTTACTTATTCCTAAAGAAAATAATGTACTTTTTACTCCATACATTTTCCCTGACACCCAAAAGGACTCATTACATTTTGAATGCTCAGCAGGACAGGAAAATGATCCTATTTGCACACTTATCAAGCGAAAATTCCTGGTCATCCCTACTGCCTCTGATCTGGCGGACTCACTCAACACAAATACTTCATTTGTAAATTATCTCTGAGTGTTGGAGTGTGCCTCTGGCTATCGTAAAAAAATATTTTTAAAAATCGTGCCGTATGGTTTGCAAATATATTTTACCAATTACATTTACAGTACGTTTGATACTTAAGTATATTTAAAACCAAATACTTTTAGACTTTTACTCAAGTAGTATTTTACTGGGTGACTTTCACTTTTACTTGAGTCCTTTTCTATTAAGGTATCTTTACTTTTACTCAAGTATACACAAGCATTTCGCTACACCAGTAATAACATCTGCTAAACACGTGTATGTGACCAATAAAATGTGATTTGATTTGACTTGAGTACTTTTTCCATCACTACTTTTGACCAGAGCCCAACGAGGCCTCAACCCTATGGGCCCTGGTCAAAAGTAGTGCACTACATAGGGAATAGGGTGCCATTTGGGACACACAAAGAAATAAACTGAAAGCGTTTTAACAAGCATGACTGGAAATTTGGAAAGTGGGGTGGTTAAAAACACTGTAGCCATTTACCAAAACATCCAGCATTGCATCACCACAGATGACTATTGCCCCATCCAAAGACAGGAATGGTGAACACTGGTTTTCTGTAAATCATGCAATAGGCTACTTTGAGGCAAAAAAATAAAAGTGAGCATGAATAAAACTACAGCAGTGCTACAGGAGTGGCTGTCTGGCCTCCAAAAAGGACCTGTGTCAAACAAGGACAGGCTCAGGAGGACAAATCTAGCTATTGGTAGAAGATCTTGTAAACATTGTTACAGCAGGGTAATGATCTTTCATATTTCATATCTTAGATCAAAGGAGAAGTTGCGCTTCAAATCATCAGGCTCAGATGTAATGAACAGTTACAGAATGATGGCAAATATAATCTGTCGTCTGACACAATTATGTGAGATTTTAGTTTCAGAGATTATGGCAAATATGAAATACTGATTATTTTGTCCACTGGAAATGAGTGCTAAGTACGTTGTTTCCCATTCGATACAATCAATTGCACACTTGTCTGGAATAAAATATAGATTTATTAAGAATTAATTGCATAAAACATTTAGGAAAATACCACAGAAACATCATCAGCGTACAAAATGTTGTTCATGGAAATAACAACACAACTTTTTAAGACAAAACCCATCAAACATTTATAAACCATATATACGGTATTTGGGTAAATTATGACATGAAAAGTAACTGATGCATTTGATGTGGAACCACGGTCAGCATCCCAAATGGCACCCTATTCCCTATACAGTGCAGTACTTTTGACCAGAGCCCTTATAGTGCACTAGGGAATAGGGTGCCATTTGGAATGTTCCACAGTCTTGTCCACATCACAATGCCCTGAGAACTCTGGGATAGATAGCACCTGTGATCATTAATATGGCATAGCCATTACCTGGGGATATCACAGTGCTACCTAACACTGATCCTGTTCTAATTCTTTAGAAATGCATCCTTCCTTCCTACCTCAACTGAAGTAACCATTCATCTGAATTGGTTGGATTGGTGGAAGTAATAAAAAGGCGGTCACGTTGCTTTCAGCTAAACTATCACTTATAGCTCGGTGAGTGATAGGATAGGTCAAGGAAACACGGAAACAAGGATGCATCTCTGAAGTATTCCAACAGTGACTTGACTGGACACTCCCAGAATCTTCCTCTGAGGGAATCTAAGTACCTCGCCACTCTTCAGAGCTATAGCATTTGTAGAGATTGAACATGCTAAACTCTCAACTGGCTTTATTGTATATGTACAGTACACAGAACACTTTACCCAAAGTGGACTTGTCGCAATACCTCTATAATGCTGTTATAACACATAACAGCTGACGTAACAGGTCATGACAGTTTTTTTTATGATCAGCCTCACATTACAACACAACACTGTTATGGAGCATGGAACAGTAAACACTTGAATAGGGACCTTATAGCTAAAAGGTTCTATCTGAAAAAAATATCATTCTGAGATAATTGGCTTTAAAGTTCCGAACCCTCATTGGTTTGAACGGTGTGGACAATTCTAATCTTGTATTCTTTTTAACTTAACAACATGATTTGGGGTCATGTCATGAGAGGTGTAACGCCATTCTTACAGCTGTATGCATTAGTAAGGCCATTATAAAAGCCCACTTCAAGTAAAGTGTTGACAAAAACATCATAACATCACCTGTCTATGTTAACCTTTATCCCCCTTGTCCTCTAAAGCAAATTCATCATGTTAAAACCACAAAGCATTGATTACTTCTGTTGGCAGTGAACTCAACCCATCTAACTCTGAGAGTGAATGAGTGATATAATTAGTATATTTATATCATATTCATATAGCCAGTTGAGTTACCTAGCCCTGAAAATATCTCTATATCTGTTCACAAGTTCTGACCACATTCTCACACAGACAAAATGACTAAGCACTCGCTCTATCACTGAGACTTCCCAAGGCATTTTCCACAGCCTGAGAATGTGCCGAGTCACTGCGGTGGAGTGAAAAAGGCCCAGGAAGCCAAGGAGTCGAAATGGACACCGTCTTGCCCCATTCCATTGGCTGGGGTGAAGGGGTTCTGTAAGTTCTTGAGGGCCTGGATGTTGTTGGAGTTGCTATTGGTGCTTTCATGCCTTGCGGTCTCCATGGCGATGCCGTTGCTGTTACTCATAGGCCGGGGGAGGAGGTTGGCGTACGACTGCTGCTGCTGCTGCTGCTGGCCGTCCGAGGTGGAGAAGGAACAAGAGGCGGTCATCTGGCCCTCCTGTCCCCCAGTTAGGGGCTCCTGCTTCAGCTGGAAGGTGGTCTGAGGGCCCCCTCCTCCCACCAGGCCCTGGAGGATCTCATCACTCTCCACGCTATCCAGGAGGAAGCTCAACCCCAGGGACCCCGCTCCGCCACCACTTCCAGTCCCGTTCAAAGTGCCCTGGGCTGGGGGCTGAGGGCTGTAGCTGTGCCAGGCTGCCTGGAGGCCCAGGGTCTGGGTCTGACTCCCCTGGATCTGCCCTTCCTGGCTCCCCATGCCCTGGGAGCAGGATGACTCTTTCCTCTGGTGGAGCTGCTGGTGGTGCTGCTGCTGGTGGTGGTGGTGGTGGTGGTGGTGCTGCTGGTGGTGCTGGAGGTCAGGCCCACCGGGGTGGGCTTGGCTGGCCGAAGGACCCTGGAGATTGGACTCCAGACCCAGACACTGCAGGTCCCCCATGGTGAGTTGGGGCAGGCTGTCTCTACCACCACCACCACCACCGCTGCTCTCCCCTCCATGAAGGTACCCAGAGGTAGCACAGTGGTTCACCTGCTGTCGCTGCATACCGTTAGCCTGGCTACTACCGGTGCTCGAGGGGTTAATTCTGATGGTATCCAGGGACAACGTCGGGTTGGGGTGGGGCCACACCTGGTTGATGGACACCTGGTTGGGTGATGTCATCATTGTGTGCTGCTGAGGGCTCTGTTGTTGGTAATGTTGGTTGTACATGGCAGGAGGGGTTTGGCGCATCATAGCAGCAGAGGGGTGTTTCATGTACATGTTGAGGTCTGGCAAAGAGGAGGTTTGGAGATTAGCGTTGTTGTGTATTTAGAAGTACATCTACTACTACTCAAGGCTTAAATACAGCCTGGTCTCAGAGCAAAACGTAGAATATCTTCCTAAAATCCGTGCCTCTCTATTTACATTTACATTTTAGTCATTTAGCAGACGCTCTTATCCAGAGCGACTTACAGTTAGTGAATGCATACATGTTTTTTTGTTTTTTGTTGTTTTTTCATACTGACCACCCGTGGGAAACGAACCATATCATACTAAACTAGTCGAACGTAGCATATCATACTAAACTAGTCGAATGTAATATATCATACTAAACGGGTCAAATGCGATCAAGGTGTAGGATACTATACATCCTACAATTCGTATTATATTGTACGACCGCTATTACGTTTGTAAGCCAATGTAATGTAACCTAAAGTAAAGTAACATATCATCCTAAATGGAGTGGCATTTCGTACGTTTTGCTCTGAGACCAGGTTGCTAAATAAAGTTCCATTAATATCATGACTTTTGTGCGTTTATTTCAGTGGGAGATTTTATGTGTGTGTGTGTGTGTGTGTGTGTGTGAGTGTGTGTGTGCGTGCGTGCGTGCGTGCGTGCGAGCCACAGACAGCCACAGACAGACAGACAACCACAGATAAAGAGCGGTACCAGGTGGTTTCAGATAAGAGGGTCAGTGTCTGGGTCTAGGTTGGGCTTGGTTAGGTGGTGGTGTGTTCTCTTACCTTTTCTCATGGCCTGGGCCATGGGACTGTGTGGTACTGCCTTCAGTCTGTTCATCGGATTCATTCCACCTGAAGGTAAGAACCCAGGTAAGGCTTTCATCAGGTGCTCTCTTCTCCTCTTCTTCTCCTGGCAACCATAGGGATCTGTAGACAACACACACACACATATATTATATTAAAGTGTCTGCCAGTGCAAACCAACATTCATATGGTATGTTCCTGATGAACAGAGCAGTCAACACGAATGAATAAACTATTATTACATCAGGGAGACAATAAATATACAAATAATATGGCCTCCTCACCCTTGTCGTCGGGTAGATATCTGAACTCCATGGGCTCGCTGACTTCCTGGTCGGTGGGACGTCGTAACTGCATGTGAACGGTGACCGGGCCGGTGATGGACGTGTCGTAGTAGGGCGGGCTCTTAAAGACGATGGCCACCTGGCGGTGAACGTCAGCCTGGGAGAAAGAGCCTTTAGCCTCCCAGCCAGGACAAAAGAAACGCACCTCAATGTCATCTGGAGAGGAGCAGGGGATGGAGGGATGAGGGATGGGGAAATGAAGGAGTGAGTGAATATGAGAGGAGAGACAAGGACTATGACTAAGGAAGTGAATGGATGGATGGATGGATGGATGGATGGATGGATGGATGGATGGATGGATGGATGAATGAATGAATGAATGAATGAATGAATGGATGGATGGATGGATGGATGGATGGATGGTTGAATGGATGGATGGATGGATGGATGGATGGATGGATGGATGGATGGATGGATGGATGGATGGATGGATGGATGGATGATGGATGGATGGATGAATGGATGGATGGATGGATGGATGGATGAATGGATGGATGGATGGATGGATGGATGGATGGATGGATGAATGAAAAGAGACACATATAGCAGTACATTGTAATCCATGGTAGGGAAGGTGAGAATACATATTTTCAATCTGTGGACATAATGTACCTTTCTGGACTTTATCACACAGCAGAAAGATCTCGTCTCCTCCCCTCACACAGCCACTGTTCCTGTTGACCCGACAGATACGCAGCTCAGCCGTGTTCGGAGCCCCTTTGTGTCAAAGGTTACAGGAGAGGAGATGGCAAAGGTTACAAGGTGTGTGTGTGTGTGCGCGTGCGCACGTGTGTGCGCAAGCATGCCATGTATGTTTATTGTGAGTGAAATCTTTTTAACCCTACACTCTTGTCAGATATAAAAAACAGTTTCAGTAAGGCAGTTGAACACTAGAGCACTAGGGCCAGTCAACAGGGGCATCAAGTTATTTTGGAGTACTCTCTAACCTGATAGAGAATCACATGCATGCTTTCATATGAGGAAGTGAACCATGGCAACGGTGCTGTTTAAAACATTCATGTTAATGTTGAGTTTGTGGTCTGCTTGCTTCCTCTTTCTCTATAAACAGAGGGGTGCAATGTCAGACAGAGAATGTAGCCAGGTCGTACTCAAAACCTCTTAGACAGAAAGGTTCTCATCTAACTTCATAAGATAGCATTAGCGTAGTAGTCACTCTTGCTTCTACTCACTGTTGTCTGAGATGAGGTTGGTGCTAGCTAGCATTAGCCTGGCTAGGGTTAGTCCTAGTTAGTGTTAGCCTGGCTACAGTGCTCACTGTTAATGTATACAGAGGTCTGTAAGCAAGCTAGGGTTAGCCTAGCTACTGTATACTCACAGTTGTTGTAGATGGGGGTGGTGCTAGCGAGCATTAGCCTGGCTAGGGTTGGTGCTAGCATTAGCCTGGCTATTCACTGTTATTGTATATGGAGTTCTTTAAGCTAGCTATCATTAGCATAGCTATACTCACTGTTGTCGTAGATGGGGTTTGTGCTAGTGTTAGCCTGGCTATTCACTGTCTAGGCTAGCTAGTGTTAGCCCTAGCTATACTCACTGTTGTCGTAGATGGGGTTTGTGACAATTGGGTTGAGGGCGCGGGTGTATTGTCCGCTGTCGTCCTGTAGGAACACCTGGAGACACAGACGCACCACGTTCAGGTCATATTCTTCTGTCTGCAACAACTGCTCCCGTGGCACTGCAGGGATACACATC